ACCCTGTTGCTTTCGGCTTCTTGGACATAGTTTAATATTACTGGTTATATTTTGCCTGTTATTTTTCTGATTGTTTTCACTGTGAATGGCTGTGCAGCACTTTGCTGCGAAGGGGTCGAGGCACCTCTCCCTAGAAATGCCTCCACGAAGCGTGCTGTGGTCTGTCGTTTCTTAGAAAGTGGCTTGATTCCCCCACGCTCCCCACGTTGGCCTTGTTCTGCTGAGTTTTTCAGAGGTCAGCAAGCTCAAAAACCAAAGGTTTGTATTGTCACTTGCTGCCCCGGTGGAAGATGCTCAGCTACTACAGCCAAGTGGATGGCTCAAGAAGTAGGATGGCGGAGAAATATTCCTGCTGCAGGCTCTTGAGACTTCAAGGCTTGTGGCATAATTGCATGGCCGTGGTGAGCTTCAGGAGCCTGCAGCCTCGGCAGGAGATGCCGTAGCCCAGCTGTGCGCAGGGGCTGCAGGAAATGAAACACAGAATAGCTGGATGGAGACTTTTAGATCCTAATTGCCTGGGGATTTGGTGTGCTTCCTTTGCTAGGAACTGACAATAATTAGGAGCTTGCCTTGCTGTGTGAGCCGTTTGGCGAGCTTCGGAGAGGCTGGAGGAGAGCTGCGTTCCTGAATTCACCCGGCGCTTAATCGGTAGCTGCCCATGGGGGGGCTGTGGGGAGCAAAGGGGGGGGTTGCAGCTGGAAAACAGGTGCCAGCGGCGGCAGAAGGGGCACAAAGTGCGGGAGAGCCTGAGTCAGCCTTCCTCCCTGCCAGCACAAAGAGTTCATGGTGCCTGGCCGCCCGGAAACGGCTCCGAGAAACACCCAAAACCTGGAGGCAGAGCGAGTGAGCGATCCAACTGCCCTGGATCCACAATACTCAGCGGAGAATTTCCTAAAATCCAGGCTCACTGTAAGCCGTGGGAAGAAGTGGGTGGCTCGCCCCTAAAATCTATTTGTAATAGGGGCATTGGTTGTGTTTGCAAGTGAGAAATTGGGTCTGCGAGGGACTGAGGGCTGGCTGTGATCTGTTGGTCCCCAAATTTTGGGAGCAACTTCTCTAATCTAACAGCTGTGTACGAATTGTGCTGAACAGAGCAGTGACATCGTTTTCCATTCTTGCACAAACTCAGAGGGTTTTTGACTCATCTTGAAGAAGAAACTAGTTTATTATTATTTCTTATAAAATAATCTTCCAGTTGAGCCTGGGCAGTGGGAATAGCCTTTCAAATTAAAATCTGAACGCCCAAGAAGTTTTGACTTAGGACTTAATGCAAGTGTAAGGAACAGCTTGACTTTTAGTTGGTGATTCTTTTAGTGCTTTTCCTCTGAAGTGCCTTACAAACAGCGACGAAAAGGGCTTCCCTGGCCCCTACAATAGGAGGAAGTGTTATCGTCTCCATTTTACAGCGAGCGGCCTGAGACAGAGCTCTGCAGGGATTTACCCGACGCGCCTTGTGAGTTGGTGCCAGAGCTTGGGCCAGAGGCCGGATAATGTTGCAACTCCCCCATAAACCAGCCCGGTTCCCATCGGAGGCTGCTGGTTTGGGTCCCAGTTCACTCGCTTGTGGAGCAGTGGTGGGGTGTGATGCTCCAGAGGGGCTCAGCTGGAGGCGGCGGGGGCTGATTCTTGATGTCTGCTGTGGGTCGGGGCTGAGATCAGCTTTTTTTCAGTTCTCTGCTCTGGCATCTGTCCCGCTGGAGGCTCACTGAGGCTCAAAGAAAATACGGGTTTGGGACGTGGTGCTGGTGTGTGCCAGGAGCAGGAGCAGTGGGGGTGTTTGCAGGACACCCCGTGCCATGCGGGAGGCAGTAACCCCTGTGAAAGTGTTTCTGAGCGATGCTTTGGGGTGGGCAGCCTGGCTCGCTCAGCCCCCAGCCTGATGGAAAAAGAAAAATCCTCAGCAATATAGAGCACGGGAACTGGGTCACTGTGAGTTTTGTCCTGTAGGAAATAATGCTGGAAAGGCCTTCTCGGAAGTGGAGCAGCGAGATGAAAGCAAAGGAGGGCAGTTGCTGGGAGGGCTGGAGGCTGGAGCTGAGGGGGATGCTCAAAGGCCACATGTATGAGCTTGTACACGCCAGGGAGAGACAACTCGGGGTCCCTGCTGAGCCCTGTTATTAAAGAACAAACTAAAGTTTAGATTCCCTGGGTGCTGACCCAAAGGGACTGAATCAGGGAACTAGTTTAGAGTTTGAAAAGGCCCTTCTGTGTGACCCGCTCCACGTTATTTATTGTGGGGGGAAGCCTGTGGGCTGGGGGCTGCGGCAGAGCGTGGGTCTGTGATCTGTAGGGGCTGTCTGGTTTGTATTTACCCAGCCAAGTGCTGGTCACAGAGTGGCAGAAATAAACGAAGGAAGGGATTTCCCACAGCACCCGGTTCCTGCACCCGCTGAAGTCGATGGGACATTTTTAGCTGACGTCAATGCAGAATGCTCAGTGTGTTGTGAAAAGCTTTTGCTGACTTTGCCAAGTGTAAATTAATGATATTATTTTTTTTTTTAATGAGTCACTCAATCGTTGATTGTTTTCTTAAATTGCTTGCTCCTAGAGTCACGTGTACATAAAATGATTCCATCTTTCTAAAAATTTTTAGTCCTTCAAGGGTATAGGGGAGAAACCTGAGGGTATGATCTGCATGTTGCCTTTGGGCTCTGTGCTTAGAGGCAAATAAGTAGTTATTTGTTTTGAATCTCGCCATTTTCAAGAGCCTGGCCCCTGACGGCTGAGTGTTTGGGGTTAGCTGCGCTGAGCAAACATCCTGAACTTGGGCTCCTGACCCCGCTTTGAGTGTTTTGCTTTTCAGACCCAGAAAGTTCCCAGGAGAGGAGAAAGGAAACTGGCTGGCTATTTTTAAACCCTCGCAGTTGCCTTCCTGCCTTATATTATTTATTATCCATTATCAGAAGTGTTTCTCCCCTGAAACCATCTTTAGCGGTCAACCAAGGGACCGGTGAAAATTGCCCATCAAAGAGAACTGCATCTTTCCTTAGAGGTCAGACGAAGCTGGAGGGTTTTGAAGGGTTTTGCCAGCTGAAAATGAGTAGCGCTTTTCTTTATTATGTGTCCTCGACCGGTGCCAAGCAGTTCCAGTGTGGTGGGCCATAATTTCACTGCCCTAAGAGATAAATACCGGAGAAAAGCCCAGTCTCCCTCCCAAGGTCCCTGCAGCCCAGAGAGGTAGCACTGATTTCTGGTAGAGACCGGGGTGCTGCCTCCTGTCTCTGTGTGTGTGCTGGGTGAAACGATGCAGGCTCTTGAGATCGTGTCACAGCCCATCTCGTGTCACAGCCCATTTTGTGTCACAGCCCATCTTGCGCTGTCAGGCGGTTTCTGCGTGACGCGCCGGTGAGTCTAAGGACACCTCTGTGCGGAGCATCACCACATCCTTTCTGCAGTGAAGACAGCTCCGATGCCCTGACCGGCACCGCGGGGCCACCTGGGCAGGGATCAGGGCCGTGGCTCCGCCGTGTTAAATCCTGCATCACCTCCAAGAGAGCATCCCGAAGGCACAGAGCTGCCTTGGGCAGTGTGAGGCCCTGGTGCAGGGCTGGGTCCCCTTTCCCAGCGTGTCCCGGGAAGTTCCCTTGACCCTCTGCCGCTCTAGATAAGCGGGATAATAGCCCACATTGTCCTCACTCATCTTCCTGCCTTGGTAAACTTTCAAGTTTGAAGCATATCGCATCCCTGGCAGCTTTGTTAATCCTTTCCTGCCCGGGCAGGAGCTGCTGGTGCCCTGGGCAGAGCAGGACGTGTGAGCATCAGCTCCATGTTCTCATTGGAAATAAAGCCGCGGGGCTGAAGGCCCTGGGAGGCTGATGTTATTTCAGCTGCTCTGGGAGCTGAGGCGTAAAACTCTGGGTTTTGGTGGTGTCAGCAGCAACTGCCCGGGCCCTGCGATACAGTTTATGGGCAGCGTGTGAGGAGGGGAGGGGAAGGGACAGGGGAGGGTGAGAGCACGCTGTGCTCAGCGGGACGATCAATGACAGTTTTGCCCATTTCTCTTTGCCTTTGAAAACAAAAATTATGGGTGGGAGGGGAAGGGGCAGGGGAGGGTGAGAGCACGCTGTGCTCAGCGCAGGGGGACGATCAATGACAGTTTTGCCCGTTTCTCTTTGCCTTTGAAAACAAAAATTATGGGTTTCAGCATCGTCTTGGAGCCTCGGGGCCTCTTGAAGGTGGGATCTGCATCTTTCTTCCCCTGAGTAGGGGAGTGTGTGTGCTCTGGTCCCTGCTCCCCAGCTTTGCCTGTGTGTCGGGGTCCTGGCTCAGGGAAGGGGTCAGACCCACACTGACCCACATCCCCCCGTGAAGCCCAGCTGTGGGGAGCAGAGGGCTGGGCAGGGCTCTGAACCCACAGAGGGCTGTTGGCGGGGGCTGAGCTCACGTCATGAGATAAAACTTGCTTGTTCAGACAAAAACTTGTGCTGTTGATAGTCATGCACTTGAATTTAATACTTTTTCTTGGGGTGGGGGCGCGTGACCCCCCCCAGACCGAGGTGCTGTGCGAACACCTGGAGATGCAAAGCTCCTTTTCCAGACCCACTGTCACCCGTGTAGCTTTGCTCCCTCCCACCCGGGATAAAACTCACGGCTCCAGGAGTGTCACCCCCCCTTTCCCCATCCCGGTGCCCCCCCGGAGCTTCCCTCCTCCCGCCAGCTCCGTGTCCCCGACACCCGCAGCTCCCGCCCCGCGTTTTTGTGGGCTCGGGGAGGGTGTTTCACAGCTCGGCCGCCTCCCGCAGCCCCGTGTCCGTCCCCCCCCGCTCCTGCGGGGGCCGAGCCGAGGCGGGCCGGCCCCCGGGGCGGGCAGAGGCTGCGGGAAGGAGGAAATCCAGTGCCTGGTTTTACAGCCTCGCCGGCTCCGTCCCGGCCCCGCGGTGACATCAGGCTGTTGGGCGGCGGGGGCGGTTGCGGGCTCCCGGCCGCCTGCCCCGCTGCTTGCGGGCTCTGCCGCCTCCCGACCCCCGCCGAACCCTTTCTCCCTCCAAGGCCCCGGCTCCCCCGTTCCCGGGAATCCATTCTTCCCATCCACCTCCTCCACCACCCCCGGTGCCTGTCCCCGGAGCATCCCGGGGGCGCTGGCGGGGCGCGGCGCGGGGGATGCGGCGGTGCTGCCCATGGTGAGCCGCCGCCGGTCCCCGCCGCACCATGTCGCCGCGCCCGCCCCCGAGAGGATGTTCGAGGGCTGCCGGCGGGCGCGGAGCCTCTGGGGCGGCGTGAGGCTGGAGGTGGCCGGGGAGAGCAGCCCCGTGGTGCTCCACAGCTTCACCCAGCTCGACCCCGACCTGCCGCCGCTGGAGGTGAGTGAGTTGCGGGGATGGAGGGTGGTTTGCGGGGGGAGCACCGCTGCTGCGATGAGTTTGGGGGATGGGGGGGGGCTCAGCCCACTATCACTCCTCTAATTCGTGGTTCTCTGCCTCGCTGGCAGCCTGGCTAAAGCAGGCCTGGAATTCAGCAAAGGGATGGCTGTGAGGAGCCTGCTCCACACAACGCTGTGTCGTTTTATTTAACAAACGGGCGCCCCTGCTCAGTCTTTCTGCTCTGTGTCCCTGTGCCATGGGCTGGCAGGCTGGCTGCCAGGCTCTCCGCTGGGAGAAACCAAGGAGACGCTCTCCCTCAAGACAACGGGGGGGAAAGGGGGCAGATTCCTAAGACCGGGGGCTTTTAATCTTTTATTTGAGGCTCTGGCTGCTGGAGGCAGGAGTCTGCTCAGATCTGAGCTGCTTGTAAAGGCTTCGGGCTTGTCCAAACCACAAAAGTGTCCCCTGGGAAGGTTACCAGCATTGGGAGGACTTTTTGCTGGAAGATGCAAAATGTTTGTGCTTCTTTGGATTCGACCTCAGGCAGTTCAGAGCCAGACTGGTCCCCTGGAGGTCTCAGCCTGAGCAGTTTGTTGATGGCAGTGGCGTGGCACCCGAAATAATCTGAGTCAGAGCTATGCTTTTTTTTTTTCTTAGTAATGGATGATTGTCTTTGGCGTGCCAGGAATGTCATTGATTCTGAGCAAATGGTGTGTTGGGAGAAGCCCAGCTGGAGGAAGGTTTTGGCATTCAGAGGTGCTGCTTTCACAGGGTCGGAGCCCTGCAGGCTGGTGGCGCAGGGGTTAATATCAGCAAGGGTCAGCCAGTCTGGCTTTGCTGGGATTTAGAGCCAGCTGCAGATGTGATTCTCTGCTCTGGATGCTTCCCGAAGGAGGGGGGCAGTGGAGAGGAGGGGGAATCACCACTAAACCCTTTTGAGTTACTGTGCAGATATCCGGGGAGGGCGGCCAGTTTTTCGGGGGGTGATGGCTCCTTCTCCCAGCACTAAACGGTCCATCCCATAACCTGCCACGGAAAGTCTTGGCCAGCCAGGGATGGGAAGGGATTATCTCAGGCTCCGGCTGTACCGGTTCACCTCTGGCCTGGTGGCAGGGGCTCATCAGCTCTGCCGAGAGTTCATGAAAACTCCATCCAGCTTGTTTCCCCCAGCCTTTTCCCCTCCCTGCTTCTCTCTCCTGGGGGTGGGCGTACTGACATTGTTTGGAGTACATCATCTGGTTCGTGTTATGCCTGGCAGGAAGTCCAGCCTCTCCGGCCGCCGCGCTCCGGGAGGCCGAGGGGCCGCACTTTTGGCAGGGAGAGCAAGAGGAGTGGGGAGGAAAAGAGGGGGCAAGGCGGCGTGCTGCTCCCCTCACCCCGGGGGAGAGGCTTGGCACGTGTGAGCCCCCAGGCACCCCGGCTGGAGGAGGCTCCGGAGCTCAGGAGAGGGGTTGGCAGCATCTCGGGTGATGTGGGCTGCAAAGGGTGGCTTTGCATGACCCTCACTGGCACTGAGCGAGCCCCTGGCAGAGAGAGATGACCACCCACCAGACCTCCTCTGAAGTCGTCTTTGCCCAAATTTCTGCTCTGGGATCTACATGGGTCTGTGCTGTGTAATGGTCAGAGCACAGTCCCGGCATCCGACCGCTTGGCCTTTCCTCCCAGCCCTGAACAACGTGCAGACAAATTCCTCCTTTCTCTGTACCATCCATTTCCAAGAGGAGGTGCATCCCAGAGCTGGGTACGGGGACCTGCTGCCTCCTGAGCAGCTTGGAGATGCTCAGGGAGCCCCTAAGCTCTGGTGTGTTCCTGTCCAAGGGGCTCCCTGTTCTTTAAGCCCTGAAAGACGAGTTGCACTTGCTGGCGTTGGAGCACACAACTGGGGAAAGGGGAAAAAAAAGAGTGTCAGTGTTGTGACAACTGTCCGGCAGCAGCCTGGCGTGGTCATAATCCTTGGGTAGAGTTACTCTGCAAGATGCAGAGTAGGAGAAGAGAGATTATTTGAATAAGAACCCCCCCCGGAGACCATCAGTGTTTTGCTAAGCCTCGTTAATAAAGTTACTCTGCAAGATGCAGAGTAGGAGAAGGGAGATTATTTGAGTAAGAATTCCCCCCTGGAGACCATCAGTGTTTTGCTAAGCCCCGTTAATAGCCCCGCAGCGCTGCTGCCCATCCCTGGGACAGAGCTGGTTTCACTGGAGCTGTGCCAGCTTATGGGGTGGATAGTCTGGTCCCACGGGGAATAGAGGATCCCTGGAAAGCTGCTGGGCAGGTTGTGGGGAACGTGGATCTTGTTTTCCGCTCCTCGGCTGAGCCCCTGCGGAGGTCAGCGGGGCAGACCTCTGCCTGTATCCCACAGCAACCGTATCGATCTCCCAGGCATCGCTGTGAGGTCCTGCTCGAGGTCTCGTGGCCACGTGTTGCCAAGTGTTCTCGCCGTGATTTTAACCACGGGGAATGGAAAATTCAAGCTGATGTCTCAAGTGACGGACCGATGGAGCGGCTTTGCAGACCTTTTGCTTTGACCTTTCCAGTTCCGATCCATCCCAAATCAGCAGCGAGTGTAGATCCTTCCTGTCCAGTGGCAGCTGCAAAGTTTGTTGGTCCTCCCCCTGGTATTTGCTGGGCAAACGGGCCACGAACATCCCTGCAGATGACACAGACCGAAACTTTCAGGCTGGCATTACTGAACCGGCCACGAACATCCCTGCAGATGACACAGACTGAAACTTTCGCGAGGCTGGCATTACTGAACTTCTAGATAAGTGGCTGGGCTGGCACATACCAAAAAAAAACTTGTGTCCTTGCTATTCTGGCTCTATTTGTTTTGTGAACAATTAGGAGATTTTCAGTTGCTAAACGCATCCTCAGAAAACTTGAATTGCTCAGCCCAGATGCCTTGGAGGTCAGTGCTTGTTCTTTACAGCCGGGAAGGAGGCGAGGGAGGGGCAAAGATATCTCTTAAAAGCCATTTTGGTTTAGCTTCCTGTGGTGCCTTTGGAAGAAGATCCTTTTCTCTCAGCCTGTTCTCCTCCCCCAGGCACAACCTGATATGCCCCTTGCAATTTGCCAGATGAACATCATCTGTTGGTATTTCTTGGATGGGGACCTACCTTCTGGCTCCCTTCCAGAAGGGTTTGGAGCCGGGGGTGAGGCCGGGAGCAGGCTGAGATGATGATTGTTGGTGGCTGCTGCAGGATGGGAATAGCAGAGGTGTGTGTGTGTGTGGATTTTTTAATTATTATTTGATATGGTTAGAGAGAAGCTGGAGAGACTTTTCTAAATGTATTTGTGTAAGGATTGCATTACTCGGAGGCTGCCGTGCCATGTTTCCATAGGGGTGGGAAACCCTCCAGTATTGGGATCTCACTGAGGTTTTAGTGGATTTAGTACTAGACTGGCAGCCCTGGAAACTGAAGGCTTTGTTTATCCACAGGTCAACGTTTATCCACATGGTCAAGGCCCCCCCCAGCCACCCCCACATCCTGGCTTTGCTCCCGGGGCTTCCAGGTCTATCTTCTAGCTGTTGGTGTGGGATTGTGGGGCAGGAGCAACCAAATGCAATCTCGGAGGACTTCCACACTTCCTGTGCTCGGGTTTTGGGGTGTGATGAGCAGAAAGAGCATCAGGCTGGCTGTGCCTACAGGGATGGGGGTCTCGCTCCACCTGCACCACTCTGTCGGAGCTGGGGGGTTGCCTGTGACCACCCCACAACTGGGACTAGAACACAGTCTGTTTTTAGGGCCACCTGAGCTGGTCTGGCCATAGGAAGGGCTTCACCACTAGCAGTTCCTCCATCACCCTTTCTGTCTCTCTAATTGCCAGCCGCCCTGTCGCCCGGGGCACGTGTAATTGAAGGAGCAGAGAGCTTATTTAGGTCACCCGAGACCACATTTAAAGGCTGGGCATCCCCTGCTCGGACTTCTCTAACACCGTTATCTCCAGAGCTGACTGGCTTTCAAGCGGCTGCGTTCTTTTTATTTAAATATATACTTGCAGCAGGGCTGTTTCAATTCTCAAATATTTCTTCATCTCCCACGGACCCAGCAAGAGGGGAGGAAAAAAATGCCGTTGCTAAGGAGCAGGATTTGGATACAAAGCTGGCCGGGCTGCTGGCGGGGGGGCCGGGGGGCTCCAGCACAGCTCGTGGTGGGTCAGAGTTTGTGCATCCCTTTGGTGGGACGTCACCTGCAGGGTCTGGGGGGGAAGGGGGTCAGGATTTGGAGCCTCATTTGGGTCTTGGGGAGAAAGCGCTGAGTTGTGGGGTTGTACTGTTACCTCAAATAAAAGCTTGTGCTACATTTGTGGATTCCCACCCAGCACCCGACGTTGAATCAAGCAGTATCTCCTCTCCAAACTATTTGTGGTTTTGAGAGCTTTTATTTCAGGTAACTGTACTCTCCATAGGTTGGTTGTCCTGCACATGGTGCTGGGTTAGACCCAACAGCATTATCCTTGGCCTGTCCAAACTGTGTGTTGTTTGCTGCGAGGGGAGGGAGAGGGTCTGTGGGACCTTCATTCTGCAGCGAGGAGCATCCGTGGGCTGAAGGATGAGGTTGGTGTGAGGGCTCTTTAGAGGAGTGACTTGGTGCCTGGGGAAACGTGTTAAGCATCACACAGAAACTGTATGGCAGCCTCTGGCTGGAGCGAGCCTGCCTGGAAAAACCAGCAGCAGGGGAAGAATTGAGCTGTTTGGCTTCTTCGGTTGTTGGTTTGTCCCGTTCCTGTCCCTGTGTGGGGACTCACCTGCAGCAGCCCCAGCCCGTCTGGCTCTGATAAAGATGCATTTGGACTTTGCTCCTGAGTCGTTAGGGAAAGGGTGTGCTGAGCTCCAGCAGGGAGCAATCCCAGCCGCTCCCCGGGGACTCAGCCTCGCAGGCTGCCCTCGGGATGGGGATGGAGCAGGGACAGAGGTGCCGGGGTGCTGCGTGGGGAGCCTGCCCTCAGCCAACACAGTGACTGGCACGGGGGTGGCTTTGCTTACAGAAAGCGTGGTGTTT